GGGCAGTGGGTGCTCGCTAAGGCTGGTGGAGCTGGACAACAGCAGCTGCAGGGATTTCTGTGCCTCCTTTCCAAGCTCGAGTCTGTGCAATGGCAGCAGGTGCGGTGCGGCATTGCCCGGCTCTCTGCAGCTTTGCACAAGAGCCAGTGTGACATGCCTGGTTTGTGTCCTGAAATGTGCAGAACCCACAGAAAGAAGGATCTCTGTGCCGGGTTGCTGAGGGCGTCCGCACACCAGTGTGGTTAGTGCCTGCATGTAGCGATAAAACTGCTCGTTGGGAACCTTGAAAGAGCCAGGCCAACAGCAAACCATGGGGAAGTTGAATGTGCCCACAGGTGGCCAAGCTTGTAACCCAGCAGCAGCTTTTAAACAAAACTCAAGGTCAAAACCAAATCACCCAGACGTGCCAATCCGAGCCCCCGGCTGTGTTCAGCAGACGCCCCGCGCACGCGGCAGAGACCAGCTTCTTCCACCGCCGCCTTTGCCCTGTCTCAGGCCCCTGCCTCCTCCAGACCTCAGGAGCCCACCCGAGCTCAAAAGGAGAATCACAGACCATGAGGGTGGAAAGGAGCTCAGGGGGTCACAGCCAGTCCGACCCCTGCTCCGGGCAGGACCAGCCCCAACTGCATCACCCCAGCCACGGCTTTGTCTACACAAACCTTCAACACCTTTCTTTAGGTCCTGTGTATGAGTGCCTGGAGCTGTTCGCGGGAAGCCCTTTCAGGAGCCCCATCCTTGGGTCTGTTGTCATCCTGTGCGACAGCGGTGGTGGAGACGGCAGCGCCATCCCCGGGGTCCAGCATCCGTCCCCCAGGAAGTTGTATCTCTAAAAGGCAGTTTACGGAAGGAGACAATCACCCTCCCAGCTGACGTTGGCCAAGCACAGGATTGAATTTCTCCCTTCTCCCAAAACAGGGCAAGGGAAAGGATCTAGGCTCTAGTGTCACATTTTGCACGGGCACAATCAGGAGCAGGAGGCGTCTGAATGGCTTTGCGGAGTGAACGTGGGGTGTCCGCCGAGCCAGCGCTTTCTTAGACCAGGCTCCAGGCAGAGCCGCGGCGTGCCCCGAGCTCCCAGTGCTGCTCCCCACCAGCTGTCCTGGGCAAGAAGCCAGCACTAAGGAGCGGTTGGTAGGACGAAGCTCTCTTCAAGGGCCGGATTATCTCATGGGGTTCCCGCCTCTTCCTCTGATCCTGGGGCTGCAATGAATTGGGTGTCGAGATCTCTCTGCAGCCAGAGTGAATGAATCAGGTGAATCCTAGGTGCTTTCTGTAGCATGAAATCTTGAGTCGTGCTATGGTTTTGGGCAAGATCAGGCCCAAGATGGAAGTCAGATGCTGTAAATTAAATGTCAAGTTAGCAACTGCAGTCATTTCTATGAATCTTGATTTAAAATCTATATATGGTAAAAATATAAGCTCGATACATGTTTGGTGCTGGTGATGGAAAAGCTGGAAATGCAGAAGTATAAGAAGAGAAATATTGAACATGTGGGTATGCAAGCATGCTGTGGGAGACGGAGGCAGCTGCTGTGTTTCCTGCCTCTGGAAATTGGACCAGAAAACACCAAGGAAGATCAAGCGCCCAGCAAGGGGTCCGAGGTTCAGCTGACCAAAGACCAGTGCTGTGAAGCTCTTATCTCACCTGTCAGGTTGGATATATATATATTCTTAGAGGAAGCCTGTATACAGTCTGGGGGTTACAAATAAAGCTTGCTTGATACCAGATTGGAGGAGTTGCTGTGTGGGACCCTGAGGTGCCGCGATAAAGAAGTGGAGGAAGTCACCCTTTCCAGGGTCAAGGATGCGCAGTGTCGTTCTCTGCTGTCTCTGCATTGGGATCCCAGCCGGGACACAGGGACGCTGCCAGGGCTGTGCCTGCACCAGTGGTGTTGGGGCCAAATGAAGCAAGGATCATGGTCCAGGTCCCCTTCACGTCCCAAACAGGAGCACCTGGCCCACGACTGGTGGGAGATGCCTGCCCAGATCACCATGTCAGCGAGTCCTTCCGGGTCCTTCCCGGTCCTGCTGACCCCCTGGTCCTGGGTGCTCTCATGCAGGACATGGGCCGACCGGCCCCAGAGGAGATCCAGGGGACCTGGGGTTTCTGCCTTTGAGTGAAGGGGTCTCCTCTGCCCTTCAGAGGCAGGTTCAGGGCTCCACAGCAGGCCAGGAGCAGGAGGAGTGACTTGCACAAGAGGAAGAGCTCACGACCGGCTGTCTCAGCAGGAGACATAAGAAGCAAAGCCCCAGGGACCTTCAGGAGAACAGTGCCTCACAGGTGCCAGTTGGGATGACACCAGCTCATTGCTCCATTAACAGAGATGCTGGGGAAGCCTCAGGAAACTCAGTCTTTCCACCGAGGCTGCACAGGAAATGCGCTGTGCCCAGTGTGCAAAACAGAGAGGCCGAGTCCCTGCCCTGAATTAAGGCATCAGTGCAATCTCAGCTGAGGTGGCTCTGCAGAAACAGAGCTGCACACGTCATGGCACTTCTACTTCTCATTTTCTCAAAATAGCATTTGCGGTGTCCTCTGGGAACAGTCGTTCAGGGCAGAGTTGTTCTGCATTCACCAAGAAGTCAAGAGACCTGTGTCCAGTGCCTCCGGCTCTCTCCTCCGCACCATGAAAGCATCCATCATCCTCTACGTCCTCTTGGCTTTCCTAGACCAAGGTGAGTCTCCTGGCACCGAGGATGAATGACAGCCAGTCAGTCTCACCTCCATCCTTGGCAAAGTCTTTGAAAAAATTATCAAGGCTCACATTTGCGAGAGCCCGGCAGGACAAATTATGCTGAGGGGAAACCAGCACGGGTTCGTGGCAGGCAGATCGTGCCTGACCAATCTAATCTCTTTTTATGACCAGGTTACGAAACGCCTGGACACAGGAGGAGGGGTGGATGTCGTATACTTAGACTTCAGGAAGGCCTTCGATACGGTATCCCACCCCATACTGGTGAACAAGTTAAGAGGCTGTGACTTGGATGACTACACAGTCTGGTGGGTGGCCAGAGAGTAATGGTGGATGGGTTGGTTTCGACCTGGAAGGGTGTGGGCAGTGGGGTCCCACAGGGTTCGGTCCTTGGACCGATACTCTTTAATGTCTTCATCAGTGACTTGGACGAGGGAGTGAAATGTACTCTGTCCAAGTTTGCAGATGACACAAAGCTATGGGGAGAAGTGGACACGCCGGAGGGCAGGGAACAGCTGCAAGCAGACCTGGACAGGTTGGACAAGTGGGCAGAAAACAACAGAATGCAGTTCAACAAGGAGAAATGCAAAGTGCTGCACCTAGGGAGGAAAAATGTCCAGCACACCTACAGCCTAGGAAATGACCTGCTGGGTGGCACGGAAGTGGAAAGGGATCTTGGAGTCCTAGTGGACTCCAAGATGAACATGAGTCAGCAGTGTGATGAAGCCATCAAAAAAGCCAACGGCACTTTATCGTGCATCAACAGATGCATGACAAATAGGTCCAAGGAGGTGATACTTCCCCTCTATCGGGCACTGGTCAGACCGCAGTTGGAGTA